CCTGTAGACTCCACAATGGGGGGGCATGTGACAGGGTGACAACACAAAGGCATAATTGGGAGACAGGAACAGAGCGTTGTCACCCTAAAACAGGAAGTGACTGAATCCGAAGGACCTTCATAGCAGGATCACCAGAGATTAATTTAATGAAAGCTGCAGATCTGAAGACTGAAAAAAAGAAGTTTGACAGAACATGTTAAATCTTAAATGAGATTTTAGTGATTGGGTTCCATCCCGGCCCACCAGGCACCGCTGCGTACAGGACGCACAGCAGAGGGGACAGAGGTGTCTGGCAGTGAACGGAGCTAGTCACCCCCCCATTATGAAGCGCAAGTTCCCGTCCAAGACGTTTGCGGCAGGAAACCTCATCAACCCACGCAGGAAATTCCTTCCACTTCACGTCCTCATATAGGAAATTTCCTCTCGTGCCGAAGATGGGGGGGGGGGGGGGGGGGCCCCACACGCGTTTTTTTTTTTCCCCTCGGGGCGAAGAGGGGGGGGGGGGGGGGATTGCGCCCACGCTGTGCTCATGCACAGGCTGTTAACCCTTTGTAGGCACAGCTACCCAGACCTCGGCCGGTGCACTTAGATGTGCTGTGTAGTCCTGGCAAAACTTTTTTTATGAATGCAGCTCTGTACATTTTTAGTCCACCAATAAAATGTGGTCCAACAAATGCAAACATTGTAAGTGCCAGAAGGTGAATGGTATCAGCCTTTTGCAGGCCCTCTACAGAAGAGCTCAGACTGGGAGGGGAAGAAGCAGCACAAGGAGCCAATCAGTTCATGTGCAGGCAAGGAGCATGCCGATAGGAGGAGAGCAAAGTGACTTCTCCTTTTATTATCCAGTCAAACACAGAGGGTGGGCCAAGGATGACCTCAGCTCAGAGAAAGTGAGCTCAATGATGCTGGCCAGCAAATTGAGCACAGCAGAAAGAAGTTCTGCAGGTAGAATCTCTGGTACACAGTGGAATGTTGCAGCAAAAGCTGGTTCTGTTATTTTATCATTGAATAGGCTGATTATTCTCATTTCTGGCTGGAGTTCTGCTTTAAAATAATCTGGAGCTGTGCGTGTCATAATGTCATAGCTGCCAGAGGTAGAGGCGGGCACAGACAGAGCACGTCCCTCGCTATTAACCAATAATGTTAAACAGCGACGTCCCGAGTGTCACCCAGAGCAGGTACCGGGTGATAAATGACTGTTAGTCATTTTGTTGTCACCCCTCCGATGGTGTCACCCGGGTGCCGCACCCCCTAATGACGCCACTGGTGTTAAAAAGCAAGGCGGGAACAGTCACACAATGACAAACAGAAGAGCGACTGATCTGCATATTGGCTCCTCCCAGCTGTAGAAGCCGAAACAAAATTGTTAAAAGGACTCCT